CAATTTTCATGTAAAAAAAGTCAAACGTAAACTAAATTTTGATTAAAAAAATTATTTTTTAGGAAATAATTTTTTTTCTTTTTTTTTTTTTACTTTTTGGCAATGGAAACAAATTTTATAACTAATTGTGGAAAAAAAATATCACTTTAATGGACAATTCCATGTAAAATAAAGTCAAACGAATAGAAAATTTTAAAATTTTTCGAGTGGAAAATTATACCAATCAAACACATTTGGAATCATTTTCCTTACAAAACATTTTCCCTGTAAAACATTTTCTTTCTACCCATTCTCCACCCTTGCAATCAAACGTACCTTAAGAACTTATTGTAAAATAATAGATATCAATAAATGTGACTAGTTGGTCATACTTAAAAGTTTATATAGCTTTCCCACTTACTAAAAGAGTTTATTTTATTCAATTATAATTTTCGTTGAAACCTCTTACGTAAAAGTTTTGACTCTCTTTTCTTTTATCGTTGTTATCTTTGCTACTTGTTTGGGATAGGTCAAACGTTTTGAAGTAAAATGTAAGAGTAACATCGATGCAAACTCTTTTTATTTATTTTTTGTGAATAGAGCCAGCTTGTGCATTGGCAACTCGAAATGAGCGAAGAGTAGAGGGAGTGAGCGAATGAGTAGTACATCCGAAAATTGATTCCACTTGATGAGACAGAATAGAATCACTCTGCCCATAATACACAAATTCCCTTGCAAGTAAGCATGGTCTTCAGGATAGAAGCACCATCAATCACCCAATTCCTAGATCCTTAAAAGCACACAAACAGAGCCATAGAGTTTAATCCTAAAAATTACTTATAAGAACATTATTTATAAGTAAATAACTTATAAACAATTTTTTTTTTAAAGGTCAAATTTGAAATTGAATAAGTTACTTATTTTAAAATCAATCTCTATATTATTTTTGAAATAACTTTTTACTTATAAATAAAATAATTAACATATCAATCCTTAGAATTTGTACATCTTCGCCAAGGATTTTTTTGGTAACGAAATAGCTTTCTATGAAGATTAAGAAAAAAAATCATTTAATTTTTTTTTTATCAAAATACAATTTATTTCCTGAAAATTGATAAGTATCTATTACCGTTACTAAAATAGTATTCTCTTAAGAACTGTGTACTAAGTAAACTCTTACTCGACTAATTTGATCCTAACTTACTCGACCAAGCTTTGTATTTATGTTTTTTTCCCTCTCTCTTTACTCATTCTTGTGTCTTCGTGTATATAATATAGGTCCACATAAAAATTTATAAGTTGAATTTTATACAAATTTATTTCTTACAACGTGACAATAAGTACAGAGTACAATAGTCATTGATGAAATTAACTCTTAAGTATTAAATATGAACATATTAAGTTTTT